TCGTAGTGGGAAGGTAGAGGAGGCCCTGAGGATCTAAAATGAACGAAGACTTCACTCTGGGAGATTGGAATGAGTGAGAGAATGTATGATGATCAAGTGTGCTCAAAATCAACCTTTTGCCCTATTCACATGGCCTGGGATAGCTTGGACGGTGGTGATGTATCAGAGGCCTCCCTCTGATGGAGGACAAGTGTCCCAAACGGTTGGAAGGCTGCCCCCAAAAGCTGGAGTTACCTTGCTCCCATTGGGTGGACTTGGGATGAGTGGGGGGGGGGACCACTGCTATTTAAGACTAAACCAGGCCCCGAGCCTGGTTAGAAGGGCTCCAAGTGAGCTTTATGGTATTATTGGGTCGACCTAAGGCAGCCTAAATCAAGGAAAAATGGCTTAGGGGTTGATTATGCCTTTTGGAAAGTTTTAAGCCCTTGGTTTGACTTTGTTGACCAATCAACAGGTCAAGGGAGGCTGAGGTGGCATAGGAGGAGCAGGAGCAACAAATGGGAGAGCCCCCAAGCCTAAGGGAAATGTGTTTGAGGTCAAAAGATAGGGTTTGACCCTTTCAAAGAGGGATTTAAGGCTTTGTTGACTTGGTTTGACCAGTCAACTATGTCAAAATTGATGATGTGGCATTTAGGTAGCATGCAGGGTTATTTGGAATAGTTTGGTCAAGGGTCAAAAGTCAAAAGTCAAGGCTAGAAGAAATAAGAGCAAATGTCATCAAGATTTGACCAAGAATTGAGGGTTGACTTGGTCAACTCAAGTTGGGTTGAACTCAAAATGGGTTTAAAAATATTCAAAACATTGAATGGAATGATTTTAAGGGTTTGAAGATATTGATATAGTTAAATGGATCGAAATGATTCATTTGAACTCTTAAGAGTTCATTGGGTCAATCCATGTTGACTGGGTCAACCAGGTTGACCCAAGGGGTGAGTCTGGGCTGGAAAATTTTGAAATGATATTTGGAGACCATTGGAGGTGGTCCCCAGGTCTAGGGTAATCAATTCAGTCAAAATGTCTATTTTGACTCTTAAGGGCCTGTTTGGTCAACCTAGGTTGAGTTGGTCAACCTAGGTTGAGTTGGTCAACCAAGTTGACCCAGGGTCTGAGTTTGAGTCCAACAGATTGGGTTTGATATTTGGAACTTGTTGGAAGTGGTTCCAAGAAATTTGGAGTTCATTTGAGTTGAAATGGGCATTTGAGTCCCATAGGGGTATTTTGGTCATTTCGACCCCCTAGTCAACTAGGGGTCAAAATAGGTCTGAAAAAATGCATTTTACTGCTCAATGGGTCATAATCAAGGGTCTGGAGGTGACTAGAGGCTTTGGAGAAAGCTCTAGGGTCAAAATCTACTGAGTGACACGTCCAGTGGCATAGACTGTAAATATCTGAAGGTTTTACAGCCTTTGGATTTTGATTTAGATTTTGGGGTTAAAGACCTCAGAATGGGCTCAAATTTGGAGGATTTTCTTTAGAGACAAGTCTTATCAGTGTGCAACTGATAGACTCTGAATCAGAGGTCTTTTCACTAGGTTTTGAAGTGCTTGAAAAATCCCTGGAAAAGGCCTTTAGGACAGGGCCTTTGGACTTAGGATTTGAGTCTAGATTTCTGAGTTTGAAATGGGTTTTGAGTTTGAATGACTGGGTCTGAATTATCCATATAATTTATGATCATTTGGTATGATCATGAGTGATAGGATAGGGTTGAAGTTTGATAGATGCAGAATTAGGATTTTAACTGAAGTTTGGATTTTGAACTAGACTGGATCAAAGTTTGAATGTGTTTGGAGCTTGAATTGGTTGAAGCTTAGGTTGGTTTAAGATTTGAATTGATCAGAGGTCTGGAATGATTTGAATCTAGAATGTTCCTGGATTCTGGAGGGATTCTAAGATCTAGAATCTAGAAGGGTTCTAGGATTTGGATAGGTCTTAGAGTTTAGAATCTAGAAAGATCTTAGGGTCTAGGGTCTGGAAGGATCCTAAGATCTAGAGAAGATTGTAAAGTCTGGATCTAAGAGAATCCTAGAGTCTAAAATAGATCCTAAGATTCGAAGTCTAGAAAAGTCCAAGGATCTGGAGTATGGAAGGGCCTTAGTGATCTCATACAAAAATGAGGTCAACAAATATTAAGTTAAGTGTTGTAGAGAGGAAGATGCTCAGGTGGATGAGTGGTTTTACTCTAAGTGTTTCAAATAATACATTAAATCATCAAAGCATAAATTAGGTGTTATTTAAAAGTAACCTAAATAAGACCTAACATATTTGCATTCAGAAACATAAATTCAAAAATTTTTACTTGACTTTGCACATTACATTTACATTTGTACATTTCACATGAGTATACTTTCATAAGGCTAGGGGTGTCAAAACAGGTCAACATGTTAGGTTTGAGTCCAACCCAAAATGACCCCGCTGGATTCCAACTTGACCCATTTAATAAACGTGTAAAAATGCTAACTCAAACCCAACCCGCTAGCAACTCGAAGACCCGAACCTGACCAAATAACCTGTTTTGATTTAAAAGTTTTTTTTAATAACTTTTTAATGATAGATTGTAAATTAATTAATAAAAATAATAAAATCATAACAATAAATAAAACAATTACACCGGGATCAAGTCTTATGGGTGTTAGAATCAATTTTTCAGAACTTATTGTTTGAATTGGAATAGTATAAACAATAATGTGTATTCTTACTTGCACTTACATAGATGCGTCAAACCATACTTGATAATAGAACATACATTTTTACTTACACTTTCTTGAGATATCAAAGTGCTTTTTTCATATATATTAAAATGTACTTGCTGACAAAGTATTCTTCATAGTTAATTAATTTATTTAACAAAATATGTAATATTTGAATAATGATATGCATATCTTGATACTTGTTATAACTCCATTTTCACTTATAACTCCTTTTAAACCACCCCAACTCATATAAATCAAGTTGGGCTAGATCCCTCCCATATCCACACAAGGTAGATAGGGCTAGAATGGAAAAGAAAAACTTACAACACCCACATAAAGCAAGTGAGGCCAAAAACCCTCCCACACACGCACAAGGTAGATACATATATCTATTTATGTGATGAAGTTGACAAACTATATATAGAAGCATGCTATGTTATGAGCATACAAGGTATGGATGATTGTATCTCTATTAATGCTTCAATGCTAAAGCATCCATAAGAAAATATAATCTCACTTTATGATCCACTTGAAGCTAGTGAACAAGCAAGATCTTCTTATTCTTTATGACTTGTGGTTAAAAACAACAATTTAAGATATGAAAAACAAATGAATAACTCATATCTTATAACAGTCAATGCCTCAAATTACCTTCAATTTAATAAGTACTTATAAAATGGCCCATGCTTGAGTTTGTCCTCGAGTCATGTAGAAGTTGGACAACTTTGTTAGAGTGAAAATTTGATAAAGAGGATATTACATTTATATGCCATGAAAAAGAACTTCCAATTCAAGATAAATAAATAGGTAATGAAGCACGCTACATCCATTATACTTTAGATAAATGTTCATAAAGCTCTCATGCTATAAAGTTGATAAACTCAAATATGTTTGAGACCGGGAGTCATGACCCACAACACACTTGCCACTTTGAATGCTAGATTAAAAGATCATCGACATGTTCAACATGGCTCATTAGATATATAATCGGGGATTAACATATAAAATCTAATCCTAATTTGAAGGTAAAGATGCCTATATTAGATGTAAAAGAAACTTCAATATTGATTTATCCTATAAAAAGGCTTGACAATGTTTTGAGAAAGCTATCACTCATATAAAAAGACCCATAGAGTATCATTTCAGAAGTTACCATCTTGTATGATAATATTATGAAAAAATAAAAATCAAAAGTAATTATTAAAATTTAACTTGTAGTGCATGATCTATGTAAGTATTTATATTTAAGACTTCAAAAATGCATGTCCATGTCACCCATCATTCATGATGAGATTGAATGAGTTAATTTACATGGCGAAAAATTTAATATTTATCTTTGATATACATAACATTATTACTAATACTTTATCATCCATTATTTTAGAGGCATATTATGGAGCTTGCATTGATCATGTTGTAATGAACTTCATAGTGAAGTTTAAAAGTGATAATTATCATGAGGAATATTACTTACCTTTTTAAGGCTTGTAAATAATTGAGTTCTAAAAACACATGGATTAAATATGTGTAAAGAATCCAACAGTAGCTACTTGTGGAAATAAAATTACCATGAGTGGTGGGCTCGTGCTTTCTTCCATAGAAGCTTATATAATTAGATGAAAATTGATATTTTAAAGAGCTTCAATAATATTACAAAGAGCGCACTCTTCTATCTAGTGATAACTTTTTCGGAGTTCTTAATATACACAATGAATAAATAATCCTTCGACCTACACAGAATTGAAGTATATAAAAAAAATTTTGTGATTACTATGTGTTATATTAAAATAAATTATATAGAATCAATTTAACTTTTTGATTATTTATTAATTGAAAATTGTCATTTGCTATACATTTTAATTTATTTCAATTAATTTTCTTATGAACATGGCTAAAATTTTTAACATTTAATTGATATATCAACTAATGTAATTTATATAAATTAATTAAAAAAATATTTACTAATTTTTATGTTGTTTTTTAAGAAGGAAGCATCAAAATACGAATGATAATGAAAGTAATGCAAATTTGGACAATAGACCAATTTAAATTTAATTAATCTTGACCGGACAACATCCAAACTCTTCCGAAAAAAACCAAAAAATAAAAATAAAAACCTTACTAGTGAACTACACTCAACCTCCAGCAGCCTCTCGTCCTGCGGACCGGTCACACTTCCGCTACACGAACGGCTACAGACCATCGCCCACAGACACCTCTCAGCCCCCGAAGCATTCTATCCCTGTATTATATATTTCTCACCTCCCGGGCACTCTTAGACATTCCGTTTCTCCTTTCCACCTTCTCCCTCGCTCTCTTGCGGACCGCCGTAAGATGTCAGGAATTCTCCGATGGATGAAGCTCCGAGAGGCCACCGCAGGCGCTACCAGAAGTACGGCCAGTGCAGTAGCCGCTGATTTTGTAAGCAACTCCTTATCCTCGCATCGTTCCCCAATTTGCACACGAAGTAACGGCGGTCTTGAAGTCCCCGCCGCTGGAAACCGTCGGCGCGATGCACCGGGGCTTCTCCTCCGACAAGAGCGGCACAAGTGGTACTTCGGAGGATCGGACGACTTTCAGACCCGCCGAATACGCGCCGAGGCCAACTGCCCGCGCTGCCTCGGCTATATGGAGCTTCTGTTCTCCAACCGTTCCCCGCCATCCATCGCTGGCGCCGGGGACCGCGGTGGATACCAAGCCGTTAAGCTCTGCCCTAACTGCCGGACTGCCTTCTACTTCCGCCCTAACAAGATCGTTCCGCTCCAGGGCACCTTTGTCGAGATTGGCCGGCTGAAAGAAAGGGATGGCGGAGGGATTGGAGAGGAGGAGGAAGATCGTTTTTCATTCTGGGATGCGCTGAGGACTTCGTACGTTGGTGGGGATCCGCCTGAGGATTGGCCGCCGCAGAGTAAAGGACTGTCGATGCAGGTCCCGCCAGAACCTCCGTTCCCACCAAATTTGAACGTGGTGAGGGTGGCAAGCATCAGCGGGGGAGGTAGTGGAGGAGCGGCCGGGGATGGAGGAGGTGGATTTAAGGATGGTTGGGGCGGTTCAAATTTGGGAAAGGATTTGCCAACGCCCAAAGAGATTTGCAAAGGGCTTGATAAATTTGTGATTGGTCAGGAAAGAGCTAAAAAGGTATCGTTTTTTACACTCTGCTAGGACTAGGGAATTCATTAAATTTACTATCTTTGAGTGAGGCGAATATAAGTTATTGTGATTTCTTTTCCTTTTCTTGCTGTATTGCAATTTGGAACATAGATAAGTTTGGTATTGGGGAAGCACGGGAAAGCCCTATGCAGTGTTCCGTGCTGCCCTTCACTTTATTTTGGATATTACAAATTGCTTCTCCAATCGAACTCCAAGGGCTTGAATGGCGTCCCTGGCCAGCTCCAGCGGAACCGCAAATTTCCCGCTATTTAGCTGCGGGTGAACAGTGGGACGCCAATATTGGCGTTGCGCTGTTCATCTCCGCCATTTTTACCTTTCTACCGAACTTGCCGCAGGAAAAAAGAGACCCACCATAACCTGCAAAAGTGTGAAAAGTGGAGTTAGATTGGAGATGAATCGCGGCATTTTGTAGTTTCACAGCATTTTGGAGTGAAAAATGAGATTTTCGGTTGGAGATGTTCTAAGAACACAAACATGAACTTCGTGACAGAACATCAAATTTCTTGTTTGCTTATTGATTTGAGACTTGGGGTTTGATCTGTATTAACTTCAAGTATGATCACTTCAGATTCTTTTTGGTCTGCAGAAAACATTCGAAATCATATTATGAAAAAACTAAAAATAATGTTAGATAATGCTATTATGGGATTTACAAGACGTTCAGGGTTTCAGGTTAATCACAAATTATTGTTTTGATGCATATTGGATGAGGAGAAGATGAGGGGATTTATTATGAACTCTATTTCTTTGTATTGGAGTCTAACTATTGCTTCGATTTAGATGGCATTGCTGGATGTGGTGGGTAATCCTAATTTTTCTAAATAATTACTTCTGATGATGTTTGTGTTTAGCATATATTTAGGAGAAGTTATTCATAATTATTCATTGTCGAGAATAGAAAAAAATGGAAGACTGAAGGGAGTATGCTACATATAGCGACTAAATAACTTCCTCTCCTCATCATTATATATCCAAATTCCCACTACAAGAAACGTCTTCCATAAAGAGAGGAAGTTCATAATGATACAAATGTTATCTTTGTTGCGGTTATTGAACAGTTTATACTAATTTGATATTATATGTTGAGGTACCTTATGAATTTTATAAAGAAGTAAATATTGTGAAGACAAAATAAGTAATAGTAAGTCTTGGCATATTATATTTTGAGCTTGTACCACTAATTTTATATCAGCAATTTCAACATTTTAAAAATCAACTAGTTGATAATATTCAAAAAATCTTGCAAACTATTGACCTGCATTAAATTTTTTTTTAAGATCATACCTTTATTGAATGTAGGAATGTAATTTTGAACCTCACAATAATTATGGTTTGTTCATTTAAAACTATAACTTATCTGATTCTATTAAATTGCATTAGTTATTATTTTTCTTAATAATGCAATTAATGAGTCTTACATTTAGTTGGCATATTGATGTAACCATAAAGTCTGATGCCAATTTAATGCAATATAATTTTTAGTTTTGATTTTTAATTGCAGCTAGAATGATGCAATAAATATTAACCAGACTACAAAATTTTAGATTCATAAATTAATGATCACTAATTACACAAATATTCAATTTTGCTAGCTGCAAACTAGAAAATATAGAATTTAACACCAACAATATTGGAACAATTAAGTGAAATTAATTTATGAAGAAATCAACTGGGAAACTCAGGCTACATAAATCAACGAGCAATTGAACTTTAATAGCAAAATTGAACTCTTAGCTTATTGACTTTGATTAAAATCAAAGAACTTTAGAAAGTTCAACAACAAAATATTTAGAAACAAAAGTATACAAGATTATAAATGAAAAGGTTCACCAAATTAAAGAAAATCAAGGTCTAAAGCCAATACGAGATTGCTTCGCCCATAATTCTTTAACTATTCTTTTTTCTGTACTTTTAAGGAATCGCACAGGCAACTTGCATGCACATGATTGAAAACTAGGATATGAAATTTTATTGAATAAATAATTGTATAATTTTTCATGGCTCATATAACTATTTATAGAATCCTAAGGTGAATATATATGGTTGACACAAAGTCAGTTGAATTCCAGATAATCTCAAAATTCAAATCTTGATTTTATCAGAAATTTCAAGTTAGTAGTGGAAGGAGCTACCTTGGATGCATATCATCCGCAACCACCTGGAACAATAGGATAATGATAACGAAATCTTGTAAAATCTTGAAGTAATAGTAATGCAAACCTTAGGTTGCACATATGTGAGAAACAAAAATCTTGAGTTGCGATGAAATATAAATTGCAAACTGTATTGAAGTTGAATCATAATGCAAGTTGCCATACGGGTGTAAAATTTACAAGGAAGGTGAGGTGCGCCTCACCTCATTTTACATGAGGCGCGTGCCTCTTAGTATTAGGATTTTAAAAAAATGTAAATAACATTAATTATAACTAATTCTAAACCTCTCTTACTTACCCTCCCATATGCATACAAGCCCACGGAGATCGAGCGACCAAAACTTTCTTTGCCCTATCAACACTGCTGCTAACCATCTCTAGCACTGTCACGTCTGGCGCCGTTGGTACCATCTCCCCCTACTCCTTGCGAAGTTCACTTCTTCCACATGGATCTCTACTTCCCCGACCAAATTTTTTATCTAGCAGATGATAATCGCTAAACCCTAAATTTCTTCTTTGATTGATATAGTTTCTTTGCTTGATTTAATTAAGGTTTTTATTTCTTTAAATGTTATCACGTTTTCAAAATTTGTTTGAATCAAAATTTTCATTATAGGATTTTATAAGAAATTGTTAGTATGCAAGTCAACATGGGAGGAAATGACAAAACATGCCTTTATTTGAAGTGCAATTATTATGGTAAGTTAGTTGAAAGGGGTGTTATAAGGATGAAGGAACACTTCTCTGGCTCACAAAAAAATGCTATATCATGTGCCTAAGTGCCAAAAGTAGTGAAAGAAGAGATATGTTCATATGTGAACAAGTCAACGATGTTAAAGTATTTGACAGTAATAGTTTGATGATAGAGTTGACATCGACTCTTTTTATTGGAGTGAGCATAGTGCTAGTGACTCCACATCATCATTGCCACCAATATGAAGTAGAGGCGCAAGAGATCCATTGAATCACTTTATGGTAAATTTGGAGGATGATAAGAATTTTGGAGAGAGATCATTTGCATGACATAAAATGTGTTCGAAAAATGCCAGAAAGGCATGAAGACGTGTTTAAATGGACATTGGAAGATTTTTTTTTAATTTTTATGAGAATGCATTCCATTCGATGCAGCAACCTTCCCTTCTTCTTTCATTATAATATATTCCAAAGGTGCTTATGTTCGAGCCTTGAAACCCCATCCATGTATGAGAACTTTATTTTTGAAAAAGGATGCAATTTGAAGAAAGTCATTTAGGAAATTAGCAATCATATTTGATGATTGGTCTGATATTAAGGATAGAAGTTTGATTAACATTTTACTAAATAGTTCATATGGAACTATTTTCTTAAAATCTATAAAAATATTTGATCAGGTGAAGGATACACTATATAGATAATTTCTTTGTTCTGTTTGATTTAGTGGTAGATGAGATTGGAGAACATTTGGTGTTACGTGTTGTGACAGATAATACTAGTGTTTATAGGGCAGCATGATGAGGACATCTGACCATGGAGAGTTTATCAGAGACGGGGCTGATGATCTACTGTCACGATTGCACTGCTTTACTTTTGAGTCATCAGTTGCATTAGATTTATTATTATGTTTGTATTGAGTTTTTTTCTACATATTTTCCATTTGTACCCTCACTTGAGGGAGTAGTCTTATGTAAGCCATAGGGGCATGTTTGTCTTTTGTTTCCTTCATTGTATGTTGGCTATTTAAAGCTGCCTCATCTTTTGAGGGGATGATGAATGTTTTTACAAAAAATTTTTGCATTGTGTCTTGGAGATTTGAGAGCATTTGAGAGTGTTTAAAGTTCCTAGGTTAGGGCAATGTATCACCCACCAATCGCAAGAAGTATTCGGGTTCGTGGCTCCTCTCTTTCCCAAAACCCTGTATCTCCTTCCTCCATAACTGCCGGTCAAAACCCCACAATCCATAAATAAGAGGAATTATATTAGGAAGTTTTTCTTAATTCCCTCCATCTAAATTTAATTAGAGATTTACTCTAATTCTCCTTTTCCTTAATTAGGATTCTATGTTTGGCAAGAATCTTAAACCCCTAATCAAATCCCCCTCCCATGCATGCCGCCGGCCCCTCCCCTCTCTCCCTCTCTATTAATTATTTCCTTCCCCAATTGGAATTCCAATTAAGGAGGTAATAGCCGCTCCCTCTCCTCTCTCCTCCTCTCTTCCATCTTACCCAAAACAAAGCCCTAATCAAGACTTAAATGGACGACGCCCACTTCCCTCCCTTCCCATTTAATTTAGGGAATTTTAAATTCAAATCTCCCTCCCCTACCTCCACCAAAATCTGAACTAACAATAAGAGAACCCCTTCCCCTAACTCTTGGCCGGCCCCCACCCACCTCCTACGCCTAAAATCTTGACTCCAAGTCTGCTGTCCAAATTTTCGGGGCGTTCTATGTTGCTGTCCTGAAATTCTAGCAAGGTTAAATCAGTTGTGCCGCTGCTTTCAACCCCTCCGATTGCTGTCCAAAACCTCCCCGCGTTTGCCGTCCAGATTTCTATAATAGGAGAAGTGCTGTCCAGAATTTCCGTTTGAAAAATTTTCCCTGCTTTCCAGGGATTTCAGCAAGATTAACTTGCTTCCTTGCTTGCCGGAAAACCACCCTTTGCTGTCCAAGAACTTCCTGCATCCCATAGCTGCTGTCCACTCATGTATGGCGGATCTTGAACAAGATCACGTCTTCATATTCAACGACCAAGGGTCCATCAACATTCTCCGGTCTCCATTCTTCGACATCGACTTCGCCGACAACCAATCCGTTGAAGACTACGTAGAGAGGATTCTCTTCTCCCTTGTCACCGCTATTGATCAACAACACCCTCCCGTCCAGTGGTGACTAACTTCCGAACCCTGACAACAGTGAACTCTCCTCCAAATCTTTTCTCTTCTAAGTTTTCCCTTTATTGTGGCATCATAAAGATTGTGCAATTTGTCTCCGCTTAACTAAACATCAAGAGTGTGAGTGAGTGGATCCCATTTGTGACTAGTCTAAATGTTAAATTAGGAATTTTCTTTGAAAATCTCCCATGATATGCTAAGCTTGATTGGAACTGATTATTCATGATTCTAACTCTTATCATGTAATTTGGCCTAAGCTTAAATCACCTTCTTTTTTGTTTTCAAGATTTGTTTAAATTGCTAAAAGTAAACTTAATTATTGTTGTTTTAATTTAAAAGGCGTTTAATTTCAACATTGCATAATTTTCTACGCATTTAATTCTACATTACAACAGGGATCAAATTGATGAAGAGAAAATATTTATATTGGATGCCTTATGCCACACACTACATATATCTCATTATTGAAAAGCTTAGTGACTTGTCTTAGCAAAAAAAATGCTATATCCTTTTCTAAAAAAGAACTCCTATGCCTAGCTGCAACTAAATTTGATGTAGCTTATTTGATGCAACAAAGCATGATGGAAGCTAGGCAATTGTTGGAGATTATGTTTATTTCCACTCAATGGCTTAATTATGCTTGGGCTCGAAAGCTAAGTGAAAGAAGTAAAAAAAGATTATTTTGAATGAGAGATTCTAATTGAATGTCACATTGTCACATATGCAATTACAATATCAAAGTCATTGGTTCATATTTTGAGGATAGTAGATGTAGAGAAAAAGCTTGCTATGGGCTTCATTTATAATGTAATGGATGAGGTCAATGAGTTGATAGCACATAACTTAAGAGGAGATGAGACTAACTATAGGGAGATTTGGGATATCATTGATCCGATGTGGGAGTTTAAACTCCATGTAAATTTGTATGTTGGAGGGTATTATCTTAATCCTCAATTCTAGTATGTCGAGAACAAGTCAATCAATCATGAGTTCAAGTTGGGACTGTACCATTGTATGGATATGTTGATTGCTGACTTACCTGAGAAGGTAAATACTAATATGAAACTTGTACCAGTTAGAAATAAAGAGATTTTTTTTTGATACAAGCTAAAATTATAATTTCAAAATATTCTTTAAATAATTTTTAATATTTAATATCTTCATTGAAATAAGGACCCTCCAAAATCTAAATTAGTAGTTTTAACCTTTTTTTTTTTTAATGTAGTTGAATGTTATATTTAGTTTGGTGATGGTACTCCAAAGCTACAGCATTTTGTTGTTAAGATATTGGGACTTATGCTCCTTATATGGATGTGAATGGAATTGGAGCATATATAATCAAATTCACATGAAAAGGAGAGATTGTTTGATGACCTTAAAGATGATCTCCTTGGTGTACATCATGAACAACAAGAAATTAAAGTATAGAAGTAAAAAAATTTTTTTTTGAAGGATAATGAGGATCTCTGATTATATGATAATATGTCATCAAATGATGAATGATTTGTGGATGATGACCCAAACCATCTGATTTGCAACAAGAAGATATAAATATTGATTTGTTTGATGGATATAAATAAGATAATTACATCTCACATATGCCAACAACAACAAGAAAAAAAAAATGATCTCTAGAAATAAAACAAAGTATGGAAATAAAACAAAGTATGGAGTGAACAATACTATTGGAAAACAACAAAGGAGAATAACATCTCAATTGAATTGCTTTGCTTGAAGCCTAGTGAAAGTTGGAGAATGATGGTCATGATTAATAGTTTCTTAATGATTATGATTACCAGTTTTTTTTAAAATATAATATTATATGAAAAATGGTGAGAGTACATTAGAGGCAATTAACTTGAATTGCCCGAGTAAAAAAGAAAATACAAATGCGGAGCACATAAGTTTGGAGTGAATGCTTGAAACATCCAATACTATTGGAAAACAATTAAGGTAAATAGCAATTCAATTGGATTTTCTTGCTTGAAGTCTCGTGAAAGCTTGAGAATGACGATGTATTTTCTTCTAATTGTGACCCTGTGTCGTAAATAGGATGTGGAACATCAATCAATCTGAATATTATCACTCATACTACTTCCATCAAAATTATCTGTTTGTGAGCATCATGATCATCCGAGTCTTGTATGAAGAGGGGGAATAGCCTTAACTGGAGAGTACAAACTATTCTTTTGTTAGCGAAAGATTTAGAAGCCACGTCTTTAGGGCTAGCAGGAGTAGGCACTATAGGTTTGTGATCGTGAGGGGCATCAATTGATTCCAAATTTTGAGCACAAATTTGAAGTGGTGATGGATGAACAGTAACCATTATGGAAATAATGAAGGATGACCATTTAGTGAAGCTCTTGCTATTGAATATTTGATTTTCTCAAATTCAGATGCACTTTGAAACTTACTAAGACGTGTTCAAATTTTTGCAGAAAGAACAATATTGGGGACACCTTAAAAAACTACCTTAAAAAATCACCTTCAACTAATAACTAGAAGACTCTGATCCAATCCACACTTTATTTTCCAATGATGATGTAATGTTCATTTTAGCTAGAACTCGAGCTATAGAAGGCCTAAAAAATCAAGCAGTAACGACATTCATTTGTAATGGTTTACCAAAGATGGAATCCAAAATGTATAAATTGGATTGGTTGAAGAAATGCAATTGAAGTTGAGAAAACAACCTAGATGTGTTATTGGAGTTCTATTGATGTATCAAAATAGAGAGACCATTAAGCATATGTATCGAAATGTTACTGACATATTAAGTATGGCTAGTGTAGTGTTGTATGTGGTTTGATAAAGTCTTATAATGATGTGACAAGAGTCAATCAATCCAACAAAATAATTACTTATAAAGTGTAGGTTTGACAATAATTTTTGAATGACATCCATATTGGGGCAGTCCAATGAAAACTTGCCTATAATAGACAAAAAAAAGGTGCAACAATAGGACTTACCAGAATCTATATGTAGCTATAATTTTGAAAATGCCAGTAATGAATAGGTTTCTTATTTCCATTGGATTGAATCTAAGAAACATTTGTCCTGTGAACTTTCTCCTCTTTCGAGTGATTCCTAGAATCCATATCCAGAGTATATCTCTTATTTATTTCTTCCACGCCTTGCCTCTGCAGCATTATGCTTGAAATTTCCATAACTAGATTACACAATGCCAACACTTTTGTTAATACTTTTTTCTTTTAGAAATCAACATTATTGATGTTCGTAATATGATAAATTCTTATGAGTTTTATGTACTATTTTCAAAAAAGATACTTGCTTATCTCGCTTGTATTATTCCTTTGCTTGTACTTGGTATTGTAACTGTGGTGGAATGAGTTGATAAATTATATAATCTAAGTGGGTTTTTTTATTAACTTGCTTTAGGCAGCTTCTTGTGTTCATGGTTTTATAATGCCATAAGAGCTAAGTGCAGGTACTATCTGTTGCTGTTTACAATCACTACAAAAGAATACACTTTACAGCATTGCCGAAAGGGTTAGTTTTCAGCCTTTCACTAGACCATATGATTCACTTGGTTTCTGTTTTTTTGTATTTCTTTATCTATTGCTCATCTTATACGCGTGATTTATGCTTCATTCCACTCCAGTATTTTTCTCAAGTTATTAGAAATCCCTGGAACTCTTATTTTTTGGTTGGCTTTCTTAACATGCTTCAAACATTCAGGTCTGGAGGAAATTCCGGAAGTTGTGATAGAGAAACTGTTGATGATGATAATGATAATGTGGAACTTGAGAAGAGCAATGTACTCTTGATGGGTCCTACTGGCTCAGGTCAAACTTATTTAACACACACACAAACACACACACATATATATATATATATATATAATTTTGCACTTTTTTTCTCTTTTCTCATAGATGGAAGATTGTGATTTATATTTTGACCTTTTGATGCTAATGGTTTTGTGATTATTGGCTCATTCTTTCCAAGAACAGGGAAGACATTACTTGCAAAAACATTGGCACGGTTTGTGAATGTACCTTTTGTCATTGCAGATGCAACAACTTTGACTCAGGTAAAATATATGTTCTTAGGTATAATCGATATTGACATATTTTGTGTTATCTGCTCTCTTATGTTGGTGATATTCATCACCAACGTTAGTATTTGAAACTCTGAAAGAAACCTTTCTGGTGTTCTCTAGTTATTGTGTTTTGAAATCTTAGTTTTAAAATTTAGGGATCTAAATATCCATTTCTTTTTGCGAAGTACTTATGTTATAATTCTCTCATTTTCTAACTTCTATCAGACAATTTGCCGAATGAACTTTATTAATAATTTTCTTATTTTGATGCTAACAATGAGCTTGAATGACAAAATTATACATGTGCAGGTACGAAGTTGGATGAATTTAATCAGTTTTATGCTTAAGTTTATGCATAGAGCGTTGTAGTTTGAAATGTTGGTTGCTGGATCCTCACAAGTATATCTATTACATTGACATAGCCATGGTATTTGCTATGGATGCATGCATCGTTTAAGGCCAAGGGTGCTATATGCCTTGGTGTCAAAAACAACCAATGAACCAATACAAATTCAGCAAACAACAGATTTTTATTGATACGAAAGGAACTGAACAAACAAGATACAATTGTCCTCTTTTGAGAGGAGGCCTGTCTCTCCCAAACCCTAGACACCGCTAGGATTCCTCACAAAAATAGTGGACAACAAACACTTACTAAGTTCTCCATACAAAACATACCATAAAGCCTACTAATTGTAGCAAACAATAAGCAACAAATTTCAAGACAGCCCTCTCTCAATTCCTTCTTAAATCCACCCCAAATCTGCCCTCTCCAATTAGGAAACATCTTGTAATTAATTCCCTCTAAATCAGCCCTTTTTAATTAAGAAACATCTTCTAATTAATCCCCTACAAATCTGAGTTCAAATTAGATCTCTTGCTCTAGATAATTCTCTCTAATTGTAATTAAAATTTTCCTAAATAATTCCCCTTTGATTAAAAACCTTCATAAATAGCTTCCTCTTAATTAGGAAACTTCATGATTCCCTTCCAATCAAATCGGTCGGTCCATCAATACTCCTCTCCCAAAGTGCCACCTTGTCCTCAAGGTGGAATAAAGGAAAGTAGGAAACTGTTGTTGAAGCAATGGACTGAAAAAAGGACTGTCACTGAGTTGAATGATCCCTGCCTCTATTATCTCCCTGATCAATCTCTCGATCTCCTCCTTCTGGAGTTAGGGAGAACGGTATGGATGAACATTGATATGTGAGACTTCTTCTTTCAAAATGATAGCATGCTAGTGTTCTCGTGGAGGAGGCAACTCCTGAACTTGTTGGAATACCTCTCGATACTATTGTAGGAGTGGCTGAATCATGTTTGGTGCTTCTATCTTCTCCCCATCTTCTTCTCATTCTAAACTCTACAGCTCCACCAAAAATTCCACTCTTTCACCCTTTCCCCTCCTTGGAAGTGGCTCCAAAGGTGACATATCATCTTCTTCCCCCAAAATTTTAATCTCCCAATCATCCCTCATCGAACTCCTCCCGATCTCCTTTCCCTTAGATTCGGCCAAGGGGATTCCGGTCAAATATTTGTTAGGTTTCTTCACATCCGATGTGAGTTGCTCTATCTTCCTTTCCAACGCCTCCACCTTTGCTGCCACAGGTCCCAAAAAAGTGCTCTGATACCAATTTGATATGCCTTGGTAGAAAAAACAACCAACGAACCAATACAAATTCAAGAAACAACAAATTCTTATTGATAAGAAAGGAAATACGAACAAACAAGATATAATGGTCCTCTTTTGAGAGGAGGACCACCTCTCTCAAACCCTAGATGCCGCTAGGATTCATCACAAAAACAATGGACAACAAACGCTCACAAAATTATTCATGCAAAACATAACATAAATCTTACTACTTATAACAAGCAATAAGCAACAAATTTAAAAACAGCCCTCCCTCAATTCCTTCTTAAATTAGCCCCCAAATCATCCCTCTTTAATTAGAAAACATCTCCTAATTAATCCCCTCCAAATCAGTTCTCAAATATGCCATTTTTATTTAGGAAACATCTCGTAATTTAATCCCCTCCAAATCAGAATTCAAATTAGATCTCTTGCCATAAATAATTTTCTCCTAATTGTAATTAAATTTTTTATAAATAATTCCTCTTTGATTAAGAACCTTCCTAAATAGCTTCCTCTTGATTAGGAAACTTCTTAATTCCCTCCCAATCAAATTGGCTGGTCTATCAAGTGCATATGATTGTCAAGTGCTGAAATAAAAAGTGGATCATAGATGGATAAGATAATAATCTAAATTATTGAAAAAACAAGGACTAGCACAAATTAAAGAATGAATGAAGAATGTTGATTTTTAAAGCTGACCTGAATAGTTGCTAGAATGCTAATGATGATGATGACGAAGTTGATTGTACTTCCTTTTCTACAAAAAAATCACTGGACACCCTTGCATATTATCTTGTTTGGATTTGTATGTTTGATTTCCCAACATTTTATAAACTGCCAGTGTTACCTATTGTTTTTTTTTAATGTTTATTGCATATGCAAACTGATATCAAGAGTGATCTTATTATTTTGTTATATATTCCATTTGTAGCTCAGCTTGCTTATACAACATGCAGATTTAGTTTCATTCTTGGTCATTAACTATAGCAGCTATAGCTTCGCTAAATGATTGTTTTTTTTATTGGTTAAGTAGAATTCGTAGCTCTTTTTATATATATAATAAATGGAGCAAGCACCACTGAAGAATTTGTTTGTCTTCAAATCTTTTTGCATTTCTCCTAGATAATTTTGTTGCTCTTGCCTTTTCTTTTTATTCTCTACTTAGAAGATTTAATGCTAGCAAAATTTCCCAGGCAGGCTATGTTGGGGAGGATGTTGAGTCAATATTGTACAAGTTACTTGCGGTATGATCTATGGACTTCCCACATGAATATTATTTTGTTCTTTTTATTTGATTTTAAATTGTTGAAAATTATTTTGAATACTGGAAAACTGGAAGTATTTAGGATATTTAGTTAACATTAATATTCTGGTTGACTTGCTGAACAGCACTTATTTCATTAATATTTCTTGAAATTTTAGAGGATATTTTTATATATATTATACATATATGACATATTTTTTTAGTTAAACTTAAATCATATCAAGTAAGAATTGTAAACAAATGTAATGCATTCAAAATCAATTATAAAATATGAATTATTTAAAAAATAACTTAGAACTTGATATTAAATTGAAAAGAAACTCATGCCTAATTTTAAAGCAAACTTCCAATGTGAACTTGTAAATTATAATTTATAATCCTTTCTATTATGCATAGGAATTAACGAAACTTTAATAGTATTGTAATAGTTTGATGTTAAATTTTGGAATTTCAAGAATGCATAAAATATAGGTGGTTCCATGTTTGTAGGGGTAGTTGGTGCTTGTGTGGATGAGGGAGTGGCTAACCTCTTATTTTTAGGATAATTGCTGATGCGACAGTTTTGGTTGATTTGGCACCCTACTTGGCCGTCCCCTAATGTTGGAGGTTATTCATATTGACTTCCTTTGGATCCAACCAAGTTATGAGTCCAAAAAGAGTTAATCTTGGCCGACTTTAACAACCGGATAATCTTGAATTGTCTCCAAACCTGACTCTGATACTATTATATAATATTTTGATTGCTTCTATAATCAATTCTCTAACATCTACAAGTGATTTCACAGCCCCAAAATATCCTATCACAAACAAATTTTATAATCCCATCCACATGCTATCGTCCAAGGATTGCTTTAGTTTGATTGGTTTGCCTTATTCTCTCCACCATCTAACTTACATTCTACTGCTTATACTACCATGACCTATAATATATATGGACCAATTTTACAGCCAATTCAACCCTTTGGTGCATTTTAATTCAAGGCCATATCATAGTTATGGCAATACCAGCCCTAATTTTCTCCCTCCCTTTTAATTGATCTTAATAAATTGTTGTCTGAATTGGGATCTAATGAAAGCCATGGTTGTAGCGAAACTCATTAGCGCTACTCACATGCTCTTCTAGCATGCATTTTTGTGCTTGACGGCGTGCTATGCGCTCTCTGCAACCAACCAACCAACCAACTAGTGATATGGATCTGCTTCATCCCTGGATTGTATTGCTGCTATTGGCTTTTGAAGCGTACTTCAAAGTGTGCTTTTGACAAAACTGTGAGATAGCTTTCATCTTAGCTTATCTGATGCAGCTTAACAAGATTAGCAAGGCTGATAATATATCTTTTAAAACATTTTTGAAGCTTGTACTCTGCCCATATGGGCTTAGAACCCATTCTAGGTGCATTGGATTTTCTTTTATAAAATCATACTTACATTAAATTTCAGTTCGTATTGTATAATTTCCATCTAGCTAAATCCTTGGAATAGTGAAAATATCAAGATAACTTGATTTCACTTGCAGTAAAAAACTGGTTTCCATTCATTGATGTAATTAACCCATGGGTCTAACTTCTGAATGCATTATTTATACTAGATTGTGCGAGGCTATTATTGCACTTGTTGCATATTTGATAATTTAAATATTGTTCTTGAAATAATTTAAATAAGCATAATTTCTAAGAGCGCGTTCATTATGGAGTTCATCAATCATAAAATCACGATATTTATTCTATCCTGCATTTACTGGACCCACTCCCTCGTTTAATTATGTGCCTGCATCTTATTTCGTTGTCTCTAGGTTGCTGACTTCAACGTGCAAGCTGCACAGCAGGGTATTGTGTACATAGACGAAGTTGATAAAATTACTAAGAAGGTATTGTGATTTACCAAGCAAGTACTTCAACATATATTATCATTTAGATGGTGTCAATTCCTGCAGTGGTTCTTTAATATGCAGGCTGAGAGTCTAAATATTAGTAGAGATGTATCCGGTGAAGGCGTGCAGCAAGCATTACTGAAAATGCTTGAAGGAACTGTAAGTAATCAAATTCCGTTTTTTATTCTAAGAGTTGATGCTATTCTATTCTTTTATGTCTGCTTGATTGCATAATTTTATATGCTAATAAGTAAAATTGGTTCTTTTTTGAAAGTTCTACCTCTTTGAGCTTTCTATTTTTCACTCGTTCTAGAGAATATGCTGTGTAATAGCATCCATAAGACAATATGGCAGCAAATTGTTTTATATTGATTTCATTTTAATCTCTTCAGTATATCTGACTGGATTCTCATGTAGTTCCCAAAATATTGTTGAGATATTTTGATTTATCAGTTTGAAAAATCTGAAGAGTGTCGATTTATGGTACTCTTTGGAACTATTTTTGTTGGTTCGTTTTTATCTGTTTCTGAAGTGTATTTTATTTTATTTCCTCCAAAATTAGGAGAAATCTTGAAAGCTGTTCTGCGTTGTTTTGAATGCATAATTTTATTTTCCTATTCTCAACTGGCGATATTCTACCATTATCTAAAATTCAATAAATATATCCCAGCGATTTACTCAAGAGTATTATATTAATCAGAACAATATATGCGGTTTCCTAACGAGGCTAAAAAAAAACTTTATTCAGATGCAAACCAAAGAATAGCCTATTTCATAGGGTGTTTGAAGCTTGCAACTCCTGATTTTGATTTTTGAAGCACTGGTTACTTGAGAATCGCTAAACCCTTGAAGGAGAACTTTTTAAGGCCTAGCTTCCTTGAAAAATGTTTTACTGGTATTTGGAAAGCTTTTTTTCTTTCTTGTAAAGATTGACTTCTGACAGTTCTGTAAAAGAAACATTTATCAGTTGGATTAATGATGTAGAACGGAGGGGGAGTGTAATAAAAATTAAAGATCTAATATTTCATCTCAAATTTTTCTTAATTAATGGATTTGAATTTGAAATTCAAACAAGAAAATAGAGGAATTAATTTTCTCTTTAATTGGGGCCTTTAATTAGGAAGAAAATCATTAGGATAGATGATGTAGGCAGGGGGGGTGGTCAAAACAAGTTGGGTTGTATTTCTTTTTTGAGTTTCTTTATCTCTACTAAAAATCAGCTCATAAATGCTTTCCCACTACTTAGTCAGCTCATAATTTGGCTTTAATTAGGTTCATTCCCACTTGCCTTTGACTCTTTGATTTCCTCCCCTATGCTACCTCTTCCCATTCTTGTGTCTCTTTGATTTATTCCTTGTGAATAAAATCTGTGCTGGCTTCCTTTTCAGTTTCTTCTCCCAGGTTGCTTTTCCGCAACTCTCTTTAGCCCATTTCCTGGCTTCGCTCCTCTAAGTCCTTCCCTGGCTGCTTTCCCGTGGCTTTCCTGGCTGTGCTTCCCGTGGCTTTCTTTGTTGTTTCCTGTGCAGATTTTGGGTGCTGTTTTGCCCTGTTTTCTGTGCAGTTTTTGGGGGCTGTTTGTGGTGTCTTTTGTCCTTCCTCTTCCCCTTAATTGGCTGTGCTTCCCGTGGCTTTCCTTGTTGTTTTCTGTGCAGATTTTAGGGGCTGTTTGTGGATGTATTTGGCCTGATTTTTGGGTGGTTTTTATGTCTTTTGGCCTTCCTCTTCCCCTTAATTAATTGGTTTAATTAAGTTATTATGTGGCTGTTTGTCTCCCCTTTCTCTCCTATAAATATGTAAGTGTCATGTTTTAAAAAACGTTGTTGTGTGCTGATTTTTGGAAAGAAACATGAGGTTTTTCTTGGATAGCTTGCGAGCTATGCCTTTTCTTCCTCTCTTTGACTAGGAAAGCTTGCGAGCTTCTCCACCATTTCTTCTCGGCTTTTAATCTACTTCTTCTATCCGCAAGTGACCACCCAACTTTATCCTTCTTCTTGACGATTGAAATGCAAGTTTAGGTGTCTTTATTTATTGTTTGTAAGTGTCAAGAGTTGTAAGTGTCATTTTTATATTATAAAAGTGTCTTTTTGAGTATTTTATGTATTTTCTTATCCTACGAAGAGTCTTTATTTTGCTTGCAAAAATTTGGGATTTTCCCAAATTTTTGCTTGCATCAATAAAGGGGAGGAGGAGGGGGCGGCCAAAGGAGGGAGGAAAGATGTCCACTTTCGATGTATGTTGATCATAGCATTAAATGTGATGTGGTAATTAAATCTGAAATTAATTTAAGATTTGGAGGGATTGAAGGGGCTTCCTAAATTAGATCTATTGATTATAAAAAGGGTTTGAAATTCAAATTTATTTGGATTCAAATTAGAAACTTTCCAAGTTAACAAAAGATTAATTTAGGAAGGTAATGAAGATGCTATTTTGAATTTGAAAATTCAAACTTGTGCATGAAGAGGGGGGCGGCAGTTTCAAGGAGAGAGTGGGAGGGAAAGTAATTCAAAGGGGTTTCGTAAATAGAACCAATTAAATTAAAGATGTGATTTAACAATATGTTTTTAATTTAATTATAATAGGAGATTGATTGAAGAATTGAAAACTTTCCAAATATAACTTATACTAAATTAGGAAAGATTTCAAATTTGAATTTGATTTCAAACTTGGATTAATAATCCTTCCAAATCTTACAAAAACTATATAAGGAAAGGAGTAAGGGCTAGGGAAAATTTTGGAAACAAGGCTAGGGGAGGCCGGCGGCTAGGATCTAGGTTAAGGTTAGGTGGCGGTGGGGTTCAAGGCTGAGCTAGCCGGCGGTTGGGGTGGGGGTGTTGGGAGGAGAAACGAAAACTTGTAGTGGAGTGGGGATTGGAGCCGGCGATAGAGAGAAGGGGGAGGTGGTGGCCGAGAGTTGGAATAAGGAGAGAAAAGAGAGAGGGAAGGAGATAGGGAAAAAATATAAACTGTGAGCCTGGACACATCCTGCGGCTGACGGGTGATGCGACGCCCTCACATAGGGACTTCAACCACGAGCCTGGACACATCCTGCGGCTGGTGGATATTTCATTGCCCTCACATAGGGACTTCTACTCTCCTAAGAACTCCCATAGCTTTTAAGAACAAAATGTAGAAACAATTTTTTTTTTATTAATCTATCATTGTCTAATATAAGAGCAAGGGCCTCTATATATAGGTCTTAAAAGAAACTAAAAAATAATTTTGTCCCTTGAGCTTACATAAGACAACGCTCTTAAGTAAGGGTAAAAATGAAAAATGCATAATTAAATAAAAAATATAGAATTAATACACTAAGATAAAATGGAGGGATCTCGGCCGTCGATCTTCATCTCTTCCTTTGATTAATGTTCACTGTCGGATGTCCGCATCAATTAATGAAGTTGTAATTCATGCGAAAGGCTACCTACTGGAAAGTAATTAATATTTGTAATCCTCCAAACTAAGCTATTATGATAAAGTTATGACAGTTCTGTAAAAATAACATTTATCAATTGGATTAATGAAGTTGTAATTCACGTAAAAAGCTACCTATTATTGATAAGAACATCAACATAAGATTTCGATGCGTCTACCATCGGATGAATCATAGATCGATAGCTATGATTCAGAGTCTCTATTTATGATGCATATATGTATTTCTTTTATGTTTATTTCAGTTTTACTATTCTACTCTTGTGAGCGATATCTTTTATGTTGTAGCCCCGAGGACATATAAGTCTTTTTTATTTTCTTGATTTTGGAGGCCTATATATTAAGGCCTTAGTCATTGTATTAGGGTTAATGATGATTTGAATAAAATTTCTAGCATTTGTCATTCTTCTTTTTTGTCAGCTCTTAAGAGAAGAGAAGGCATCACCCATTAGTTGCCCGACTGCGGTTCGTATTTGTTGTTATTTTCTTTTCCCCTTCCCCTTTCCCCACCGTCGGCCACCTTCTTCTTGCTTCCTAACCCGTTGGCCTCCTCTCCATCTCCACCCATACCACTGGCTCCCTTCTCCCCTCCACGATAAACCACCACATCCCCTTCCCACACCACCCTAGCCAACAACCCAACCTTCCCCCACCAGCCTCCTCCTTGCCGGTCCCTTAAGCCCTAGCCAATCTCCCCTAACCTATGGTCTAACAAGCCCTTCCCCATAGCCGCCAGCCTCTTCTCCATAAATTTGAATTTCAAATTCAAAATAACCTTTTAATTACCTTCCTAAATTAGCCTATTGTTAGTTTGGAAAATTTCTTAATTTGAATCTCAAACCTTTCATGATTAACAAATCTATTTTTGAAAACCTTCCCCTAATTACCCTAAATCTGAAATTAATTTCAGATTTGATTCCCAATCTCATTTAATGCTTTAGTCGACATACATCGAATGTGGTCACCCTCTACCTCCTTCCTTGGCTGCCCCCTTCTCTCCCCTCCAGTCAAATTATTTCCTTCCTAAATTAAGGGCTCCAATTAAGGAGATAATTAGCCCCTCTTCCCTTCCCATATGTCGGCCCCTCTCTTCCCCCTATCCTAATTAATTCCTTCCCTATTAAGAGCTCCAATTAAGGGGCTAATAAACCACCTCTCTCTCCTCCTTCCCTCCTTGTTTGAATTTTAAAATTCAAATCCCTCAATCATAAGAAATCTGAAATTTAATTTCAGATTTTTCCTTTTAATTCCTTTCCCTCCCTTACCCAACACTTGACATCTAAAACCTAAAGAGATCTCCTTTCCCTAGCCTTGGTCGAACCCACCATCCTACCTCCTCCATTATTTCCCTATTCCCTTGCTACACATACAACCCAAGGAAGAAGGTACGCTACCTCTCGGTCTACCTCCTCTATGGATGGCCGATCCCGAGCATGACCATGGATTCGTCTACGACCATCAAGGCTTAGTGGATATTCTACAATCCCCTTTCTTTGACCTCAATCTGGAAGTTGACAACACCGTCAATGAATACGTCGACCACATCCTCTTCACCCTGACATCTTCTATTGAAGAACACATACCCTCCCGACATTGTGCGAGTCATCGGACATCCACCCGTGTCTTTCCCTCCTGCTAATCTTTCGTGGATCAAGACCGTAGTTGTCCTCTTTCATTCGGTGACATCTCTAGGATTGCTGAAGTTGTTCTTCCGCTAACCCCACTATGTA